CAAAATTATAATTTTTCCCAAAAGAAAATATGAAACATCTGAACTTGTGTTAGGCCGGACGGAGTGGGAGCGGGGAAGGGTCGCAGGGAGGTTCCCGCCCGGCGGAACACCGCACCGTTGGTGCGGGGAAGGGTGGTGCAGGAATGGGTGAGGGAAAACTCTCCCGCGTTCTCTCTCCTGATGTGATTGGGTGTTTTTTTTTTTTTTTGAAATTCAACCGTTATTCAACGGTAAAATAATAATAATAATAATTTTTTTTATTTTTTTTTTGGACTGCAACGGCTAAATGGATTTAAATCCATTTTTTTTTGTTTTTTTTTAACCTTTTTACACACCTATAAATACACAACTATTTACCATCAAACAAAATTCACACAAATCCTCTACTCTCTCCACTTTCTTCTAAAAAAAAAATGAATCCCGACAATCAAACTCCACCTTCCGATCGAAGGAAAAAAAGTCATGGTTCGAGTATAAACATCCCTTCTCGAACCATTTTTGCTATCGATTCATCACCACAATGAGTTTATTGCCCCCAACTCGATGCTCCCATTCAATCCCCACTACAATTCCAATACCAAAATGTTGGACAATATTACCCGATGCAACTTCCAAATGTTTCGCCGCAAATGTTTTCAAACTTTGTTGTGTTTCCGGATCAACAATCGCCAAATCAACCTCAACCTCAAACCCAAACTCAAACTCAAACCCAAACCCACCAACAACGCCAACTTGTCGACGCGTTGGATGACTCGGAAGAAGAAGAGATGGTTCTCGAAACTCAACCCACACCACCCCCACAAAGACGTAAAGGGAAAAAACAAGCGCGCGAGGGTGTCGCACAACCGGGAAGACAAAAGTCGACTGCATGGCTTCCACACGAAGAGCTAGTTTTGGTCAAATCTTGGGCTGACATTTCTGAAGATTCGATTCAAGGAAACGCACAATCGGGAGACCATTTTTGGTTTCGCATTTTAGAACGGTTTCGAGAGGAGCTAGAAAAAGGTGACGACTACCGTACGAAACATCAACTGAATTCGAAGTTTCGAGAAATAGCAAAGGGGGTTTCAAAAATAAACGGGTTGTACAACAACCTAAAAACTCAACGGAAAATCGGTCAAGGGGACGAACAAATACTTCAAGAAGCTTTGCAGTTTTACCTTGAAGAAGTCGGAAAACCATTCAAGTGGCACGATTGTTGGAAATTATTGGTTCGATGTCCTAGGTGGAAAAAATACGAGCAAAATTTTATTTTTGGAGTCCAACAATCAAAGCGAACGAAAACGAGCTCTAGTGGTTACACAACCTCCTCCGATGCTCAGGTGACGAACTCGAGCTAGAAGAAATTGTATGCCCAATGGGTAGGGACAAAGCGAAGAGAAAGGGAAAAGGGACTTCTTCGGGTGCATCTGATTTCAGCGTGAACATTGACGAAATGCGGAAAATAACATCGTCGTTTGATCAATATAATCTTAATTTCTCCGAACGTTTGGCTTTCGACAAAGAAAAAGAAGAAACAAGGAAAAATAAGCGGGCGGAGAGACAATAAATGGAGGATATGAAGTTTTTGATGGAAAACATCGATCATCTCTCGGGACCGGCTCTCGATCTCGTGATGAAGAAGAGGAAAAAAATTATGAAAAAATATTTTCCGTAGGTCGTTGTTGGTTTGTTTGATTTTTAGTTTGTGTTTTTTTTTCTAGTTTTTTAAATTTTAGGTTTAATGTAAGTTTTATTTTAACTAATGAAATGCTTTTTATTTTTAATTAAATTTTATGTTTAGTATTAATTTAAAAATTATAAATCATAAAAAAAACTTATTTAAAAAAAAATGAGGGAAGGACTTCCCACTCATTCATTGGGTTTTAGGTGAGGGAAAGAAATGTGAGGGAAATGGAGGTATAGCCCACAAAAAGTGAGGGAAGTTTCCCCCATACCCTCCGGTCTTAATGATTCATGAAAAGTTAGTACAAATTCAAAAATATGATTTAAATGACTTGATTTGAAAAATAGAAGTACGTTAATGATACACCATTTGGATCAAAAAAGATTAAAGGAAGTTCAAATACACAATGCCTTTTTATTTATTTATCTATATTGCCGAACAAAAATAATTCGTACATATATATGGCTTCCAACCTTCAATATCTTTTTTTGAGAAATTAAATATTCTTCTACTTTTTGTTTCTATATATCCTCATACTCAATTAAATAATGACATGTGTAATATTTAATGCTCATTTATTGAAATTTAATGATATTTTAGTAGATTAATATAACACATATCATCATTTAATTGGGTAGGAGGATTTGTAGGAACAAAAATATGAGGATATTTAATTTCTCTTTTTTTTTATTATTACTTAAAAGAAAAATATCATCGTCATATAGCATATGTTGCCGACTAAGTGGAAACACAAGAATTTACTTAGTCTTTTACACACATATATATACATATAATTAATATCTCTAAACAGATGGAATATTGTTATGCCATTTATTCAAGTTTTTCTATTAAGTCCATTAATTGCTTCTATATTCTAAAAATAATCTTAAAAGAAAACGTAAAACATAAGTTCTTTAAAATACAACTGTTAGGCAGTTAGGGGCCCACATATGGGTGTGATTATTTTTCATTTTGTCCATGATACATAGTTTCAAATCTGGAGTTATTTTTTTGTAATGTATTTTTGGTGAGACATAGATATTATCAAATATAATCCGATACAAAGTTAATTTAATCCCAAATGCAATTTTCGGATATGGTAGTTATTTGGATAAATCAGAAAAAAATTATATCATCTTCTCTATATTCTTCTTAATTAAGTGATCTTTTTTATGATTATCTTATAAACTAATTCTAAGACCGAGTATGAATAGGTTATTTGTAGCAATAATAACGGATGAATAACTAATTCTACGACATCTTATTAAAATTCTTAAATGTTTTTTTTTGTAAATAAAAAGTCAAATTTTCGTTTCAAGAAAACAAGAACAATCCAAATAAAGTTATAGTTGAAATCAAAGTCATCTATCGATTCTACACTAAAATGCATATTCTAAACACCCAAAACCTAAAAGCACTTTGTATGTAAATATCATTCTAATGCCTCCGATTCTAAGAAATTACTTCCCACAACTAACATAAGATCCCGTAACAAACAAGATGAGTCGAAAGTGTTGTGATATTCCCACTTATCTTAACGTGTAATGTGACCTTAGGAAATTTCACATATTCATGTAGTGAGATTGACCGACCAATTGTTAGGAAATTCATACGAATTAGGTCTGGACCAAACTCGGTAATAATATAATAGAATCAAAACGCGTATATGAGATTCTTTGATTTATGCTTACACGAAAACTTTTCATAAATATAGTAACATTTCACTTTCACTTTCACTTTGTTAGCTTTAAAGTTTTCAAGAATATTAAAAAGATTATTGTGTATACTTTAAATGGAACCTTTAACGTGTTATGGGCTTTAAAAGGGCTTTTATGAACGGGTTAGAAGCATATCACAAATTTATGCTTACTTTGCTTTTAATGGGCCTAGTGTTTTACTTGTTAGTTTTTTATTTCGTAATAAATATGTATTTGAAATCATATTCAACGAGGAATAACACCAAAGAGTCAACCATGATATGAATGCATCTTATATATGCAACCCCACTCATCTCAAAGTTTCTACAAAGGCGTCATACACGTTTTCGTTGGATGAGTGCCTTTCATTAAGTTTTTTGTAAATAGTTTAATAAGTAAAATATTATTCACTAAAACTAACTATTAGGGATGAAACCCATGTAAGTTTCTGTCGAAAATTTATATACATGCAATAGGTAACACATAATTAGTATATACAATAATTCTCAAAAGCTTAGCTACAGTGAAGTTCTTTCTCTTTCTTATTTTGACACGGAAGTCTTTCTCTTTCTTATTTTGACACGAAACGTAGTTCTATTTATCATTCTAGACCGCCATATGTTTTCCTTATCTGTTTTGATTGTGCCGCCCTTCTCCTCCAACAGGACTCTCCACCGCCATCAATGGCGAGTCTAGAATAGAAAACCACATGGTTCACTAATTTTTCTATATACATTTTTTATACAAATTCAAATATTTTTATAGGTAAGGTAGGTCCTAAATTTTTTTTAAGGTAGGTCCCAAAAAATTTCTATAGTAATTTCAGATAAATTAAAAAAATTAGGTGGGTCCTAGGACCCACCTTCCTTATACATAGCCTCGCCACTGACCGCCATTGACTGCGTCTCTGAATATATTCATCATGCTTATCGGATTTCTTCACTTGATAACTCCTCCGCTCTATTCCCATTGTTGCATTCCAATCGAATGATGAGGTCGACTTCTACTACTCCTTCTCACTATTTCAGTTTCTTCCAATTTCGTTCTATCTCGACTTTTAATTATTTGGTTTCAAGAAACAGGTAACAGTCGATCTGAACCCTACAAATCGGTTTGTTCACCATATGGTTGAATCAGTCGAATCACCATCGCTTCTTCCACTTCTTCACGCCTTCTTCCACTTCTTCACGCCTGTAGGTATACATAGCGCGTGTATGTGATGATCCAGGGTGTTGTTCCTCTGGGTTTGCGACTTCCGGCTTTCGTCTGTTGCCGTCGTTCATTACTGATTTGGGTATGTGTTTGCGACTATTGATTTTGGTCATTATTGTTTTGGTTTACACTTTTGCACGCCAAATGTTCGCTGTTTTGCCTCCTCATCTTAGGTATTTTGTAGGTTGTGTGCTCTGGTTTGATCATAGTTGGGGGAAAATTATGAAACAAGTTCTACTGCCTGAATGACCATCTCTAAGTCTAGCACGTGAAAATGAAATACAAAGTCAGTGGTCTTATAATTTCAGTACTGTTGTTTCTATTTTGATTGATATCTTGGCACATTAGTTTTTTATTTTCTTTCGGTGGTTGACATGAATAGAAGTTGACGCCTAATGATTCACTCACCTATTACAGTTGTGACAATGATTTTTGTCCCTTTGAAGACCAAGGACTCAACACTTTTCCATTTGCAATCTTCTACAATTAACAGCTTTGTGCAACTTTGCAAGATTCAAATGGTATGTATATAGTTTGTATTCTCTATACTAAACAATTCAGTTGTATGTTACCGTATACTTGATTGGATATGGCATATTTTTTCTATAGTTATTTGATCGTAATACAAGACATGGAAGAATGGATTGGTGACAAACGGTTAAGAATAAGGTATCATCAAAAATTTTCATGGACGCATATGACAATGGTATATTTGAACATGTATGTCTTTCTAAACATCAGTTCTTGTAACAATTTTAAATTATTTTTATCATTTATTAATTTTTAATTTTTTAAGACATAAGGCAATTGTGGTGGCAAGCAGAGAAGCTTCAAGCCTGCACTTTTATCTTTTTTCCAGTGACACCCCGTGTGTATTAACTTTCTGTTGACTTGACTTTAACTTTTATTTAATGTGCTATTAAGTATTATTTTTTTTTTCAGGTTAGAATTATTATGTTCTCAGTTTGTTGTATCCAGGTGGAACTTTCTGGTCATGTTACCTTAGTAGCCTCTCACTTCCTTTTCAAAATTGGCTTGGTGAAATCTAACACGATTAAATTAACTTTTCTGGAATTTTTAGTGCCAAAAGAGTTCCTGTGTGTAACTATTTCTTTCAGTAATAGTTCCTGTCAAAAAACCGGTAAAAGTTGTATAAAATTAGCTTATTATTTTAGATATTTTCTACTTTTAACAACTTTTATTGAGAAATCTCCAGAAAAGTCCCAATATTTTCGGAAAAGTTACACTTTAGTCCCAATATTTTTTTTTGAACGAAAAAGTCCTAAAAACCGGCAAAAATTTACAGTTTGACCGTTTTTGACCGGGTGGAACCGGTACCAAATTAATTTAGGACTATTTCGTAAACTAACCCAAAATATTGTGACTTTTCTGTAAACAAAAATATTAGGACTTTTCTGCAAACAAAACCATTATTATTATTATTATTATTATTATTATTATTATTATTATTATTATTAAAAATATAAATAAGAATACTATTTTTTGAATTTGTATTATTAATATTGTTAATAATACATATAAATGCATTTAAATGAAAAAATAATATTGATGACATTGATTAAGGGTAGAGGTGGAGGAGATGGTGATACTTTTACCATTGAAATCATGAATGTCGGCTTGTATATTTTTACTTTGTATATGGTCATTTCACATTTGTTATTATTGTTTTCAATTTAGAGTATTAATACTAAACAATCAAATTCAAAATACTTCCTCAATCTCAATCGTTCAAACAAAATATTCATAAATGAATCGTTTGTGTTGCACACATATTTATGCTCGTATTTCATTTTGTACTCGAACACATAATAAAACTATTGTTAATAATAAAAAATGATAATATCAAAAATCTCATTGAAATCTATTTTAACAAAAACTATTTACTAGTTTTGATTCACCACCCCACATCTCTTTTTATAGTGAAGGCTTCGATGCATACCTATTGACGAGTTATTCTTAAATTTATTAATAAAGTATGTATTCATAAGGTTACATAGAGTTATGATCACAAAAATATAATAAAACCAAATAAATCAAATTGAAGCAATTGTAATAGTAATTGAAAAAGCATGTGAACAAAGAAACACAAAACCTTATCAGGTGGTCTTCATCGAATTCTTTTAAGAGCCCTTGATATTGATTTTTGGGGCTACAATTTATTTCTACTAAGAATACATGGACGCACATCAAGAATATGAACAAAAAAACTTATAATTTAGGGTTTGAGGATTTTTAGACATGTAGATTAAATAGGGATTTAATTACCAGCTAAATTATGGTAGAACGTTTCAACTATTTGATATTCCTATTATACCCTTATTTCAACCATCCATAACTTACATTCAACTAATCCAAACCATCACATCCATTTACCAAATTACAATTACCAAAAACCTACAACCATCCATACATAATAATAATAATAATAATAATAATAATAATAATAATAATAATAATGGTTTTGTTTGCAGAAAAAATCCTAATATTTTTGTTTACAGAAAAGTCCCAATATTTTGGGTTAGTTTACGAAATAGTCCGAATATTTTGGGTTAGTTTACGAAATAGTCCCAAATTAATTTGGTACCGGTTCCACCCGGTCAAAAAGGGTCAAACTGCAAATTTTTGCCGGTTTTCAGGACTTTTTTGTTCAAAAAAAAAATCTTGGGACTAAAGTGTAACTTTTCCGAAAATATTGGGACTTTTCTGAAGATTTCCCATTTTTATTCTTACTTAATAAAATGACTTTTTTGTACTTCGGGTTTGGTACTGCACCTGGCTCGGAAGGTTCTGATGCCACAAAGGAAGTGAAGGAGCTGAAAAAGAAGGCTGCAGCATAGAGGTTGTTATGACCATATCATCAAATAATAGTAATAGACCATAAATTAAAAAGAATATATTATTTTGACATATAATCATATCATTATATTCTTTGTTTTCAGATTTGGGATCACATAGGTAACACCCACTGAAGAAGATGACAAAAAGAAGGTCACACTTTGTAGGTTTGGATCTTCTTCAAGTGTTGATCTTCTTGTCTTCAAGAACAGAAAAATAAGGCAAGGACACTCATAAAATTTACTTTATCAACAATACTTTTTTTTTATTAAACAGGTTGTTGAAGATCCCAATTTTGGTAGTAGTTTGTTGTTAGGTTGGCTTGAAAAAAAATAGGTGGGATGCGGTTGGTTATATCTTTTCATAAATATTATAATATGTTCTATCGTTTGCTACAACTTGAAATTAGGAAAAAAAAACACAGCGCATCTAATTCCCATCTAGTTTACAAAAAAGAATAATTTCAATTATATATAAGTTTGTTCTTAAATGTGTCGAAAGTTGGATAAGATCTTAAATCACGTCTTTTTTTTTTTTTTTTTGTGTTTCTTCAGCATGGGGTTTATGCAAAAAAAACTCATTTGCGACTTGAAATTCTTGCAGGTGTTGTATAGGTGACAAATTACTGATTTACCCTTTTCACATATGGAGATTTGAAGGAGACTTTCACTATGCATCCCAACTGGTCGATGAAATGCTTGAACCAGGGTATGTTGATTGTTGATGGATACATGTGATTATTTATATCACCGAATGTTTCTTATGGTAACTAACATGTGTTCTTGAAGATGTTTCATTTGATGGGTGATTTGTCCAAATGTGAAGATAAACAAAGTTCAGTTTTTTTCTTGTGGAAACATGGCAAAAAGGTAATTGTTTGTGAGTTTAAGACATATATTTATTCTGTTCTAATATTTTTTACTTGGTATTAACCTTATGAACAAGGTAGAAAGTTAAAGTTGTTGAGGTAAGGACACTAAGACCTACTGAGTTGAACAAGGTAAATAAACTTCAATATATCTGATTCTGCTTAATTAGTATCGTTAGTTTGTAAGTATCATCAGATTTTTATTTTTTAAGTTGGATGTGCAACTAATCAGATAGCTACCATACTTTTATCAACTCAGACCTAACCCTGGTAAATTACCTTTGGATATACATTTCATTTCATTTTTATTTGTGTTTGTGGTTGTTTATATCTAATGTTATCTATGCTTTCTACCTAACGACTCTGGCACACAATAGTTGTTTATAGACAAGGCTGAATGATTAGTAAGGCTACCACCAAATACTTATTTCTCACTACATACTGATAAACAAGATGGAACACGAAATGGTTGATTTTCCTTACATCCCCTTTCCGTTTCTGCACTTTAAAACAAACATTATGTCGCTATGCAGCTCTTTTGACTTCTCCCCAAAAGGTAAACAAATATTGTATTTTTTTTTTCCAGTTGAATAACTGTAAACGACTGTTTTACCTTTCGTATGGAGTTAATGCTAAATACAAATGGCAAGAGTCACTACTAGGGATGAGCATATTGTTGGAACCAGAAACGGAACTGGTTACATTGGTTTCTCATATTTTGGAATGACTCATGGAACCATTGGGACCGGAACCGGTTTCAAATACAACTTCTATTTTTAAAAAAAAAATATAGTTTTATCAAAAGAAAACATGAGTAAAATGTAATAATCTAAAAATTTAGGTATATAATATGGTTTTTATGAGATACTAAGATGTATTATGTTGTTCGGCAACAAACCAATTCAGTAACAGACATGACACAAACCCAATACAAAATAGCACACAAATTTTAAAAAACAATATGAACATAAAACTGTCATTTTACCATTTTTCCCTCTTATGTCCAAGAACAATAACCATTCTTCCCCATTATATCCATAATCCAGGGAAATATATGAACCACCGGTTATATGTGTAAAACTGAAGGGTCTATTTGGAAAAATGTGTGAAACTACAGAACAAAAAACATATATACAAAATGTCAAAAAAAAAAAAAAAAATTGGTAGAAACGGAATAGTGGAATTGAAATACATGGCAATTTGCATATCCTTGTCTAATATGCATTCAATCTATGTGTTTTGTTTGTAGTCAGGCTTTTGCGAATTTGTTTGTTGTAATTTAGTTGGTTTGTGGGTGTGTATGTTTTGACATGAAGATTTAGACGTTTTTGAAAAATAAATTGTAGTTTTTTTTTTGGATTTCAATGTGATTGTTTGTGTTTCCTTGAACAGTTTCTATGCAATGTACCTTGTACAGAATGGGCTGATTGATCTTTCATCAACTACTATACCCTGTAGTGAGTTGGCTTCTCATGGTGCTAATGAGCACTCTGAAACCCACAATGGTAATCTTATTGGAAATGGGTGAAAGTGCGTTGCTATTAGATGGTGTAATCTAAAATTGAAATTATGCATTGTTTGTTAGTGATAGAAGATGGAAGGCTGCATCACAACAGGTAAGACACCTTTTGTATTCATTAGCTTACATTTATAAGTTTTTTGGTTCTGAAAGAGAACTTTGAAATTTATTATGCAGTAATTGATGAAATTACCAACCTTATTGATAAGATGCTGCTTTTTACCGCCTTCAAGTATGTTGCTTTTCCAAATATAATGTACTATTTGCTATGAATGTCGTATGAACACCCCCTCCATATATGTAATAAGTATTTAAAACAATTATAATATGCTTCCTTATTTACTACAAGCATTTGCATATATATATATATATATATATATATATATATATATATATATATATATATATATATATATATATATATATATATATATATATATATATATTATTTTTGTAAGATTGATTTTATTTTCTGTTTTAGGCTGCGCGGAGTCGTGAGTCGGTTAACTAGCAGGCTACGGCTGTACCGGGGGTACCGCCTGGAAAGGTCTCCTTGCACAATAGGTTCAGCGGGTTCAACTCTTTAATGTCTTCACTCGGATTGCCATTTTTCAATTACCAATTACAGTTTTCTATTAAAAACAATGATGAATGTAGGAAGGAAATTAGACTATGTGATTATACTAATTATATGGTAACGCAGGCCATTTATTGACCATTATGCCCCTGGTCATTTAAAGTTTTTTTCATTGTTTTGGCTTTTACTTTGTTTTTTTGGTTTGTATTTTTGTCATAGTAAAAAATACACAGCTCATAAACTTTTTTTTTTTGGCTATTACAATATTTTTTTTACCAAAAACGACAATGCACTTTAGTTTTTTTTAAAAAATAAAAGTCGTGTGCTTTTTACTATTAATCAGGTTTGTTATAGATTGTCTTATCAGTGAATCTAACAAATTAGTTGGAATGGTTATAGGAAACGAATGAGAAGAAATTGAAGCTTTGAAAAGGCATCAAATGACACTTTTGGGTAAGCAACACAATATATTTATCTGTTTTTTAATCGAGTTAATGACAATCATGCCCTTGGTCGTTTAAAAGTATTTTGATGTCATTTTGCCTTTTAAAAGAGTGATGTGTGAATGTAAGCAAATGTAACCTCGTACTAACCTCGTACTAGACCAAAACCAATACGAACAAACTAATCCTACTACTACTAAAACCAAAAAGTAAAGTGATTCATATTTAGTTGAGATTTAATTTTTATTTGGTTGTACTTACTTTCATTCTTGTGATTTTGACTGGAGTTTTCCTTATTTGAATACACACAGTCAACTGGAAGAGACAAAAAGTGGACGAGATTATTGGTGAATGTGCCAAATGAGCAGTATTGGAATCCGGTTATACCCAACGGAAGTTCTTGGACTCCGATGACTCCAGGGAAACTGATCTATCACAGAATCAAATTTTATCAAAACCGTGTTGCACAAAGGAACTTGAACCCTTAAAGAATCAGCAATGCCCTACATTTAATTTGGACATGATCCATGATTACAACTCAAAGCAATTGCCTTAAGGTGATCTATCCTTCTATTTTCTCAAGTTTTTTATTAGTTTATTAAAAAAAACGTCGTACCATTAAAATTTAAATCCGTAGGTTACATGTTGTAATAAATATATTTTTCGACCATAATAAAAATTAATTTGAAAGTACAATTCTATTTGTTGCATTAAACAACTTTTTTCAACAGATGGATTTTGCAGTACACTTGAGGATCCGGGGAAGAAGATTGTTGGAACTTATTATCATTGCTTACAGAATATGGAACACTATGTCTAGAGATACAATACTACTAGCTCTTCAGAGCCCTGAGGTTTGTTAAAAAAAACCTACTATACTGCTGAAAAGTAGCAACCTAATTTTACTGAAAAGATCTTAAAACACATTTTTTTGTTGTTTTAAATTCTTGCAGGTGTTGTAGAGATGACAAATTATTGATTTACCCTTTTCACATCTGGATATGGACCCCTGGATGTTGGGACAAGACTTCATGCTGCAGAAGGATCATCTTGCTAACAAATGAAGGATGAGATTTCTCTCTTTCGTGACATGAATTTTTAGCTTTTCAGGGTAAAGCATCCTTGAAAAAAATATAATTATTATAGCATTGTACTTTTTAACTTTTTTTTTCAAGATGTTATATAAAATTTTGAAGAGCATTTACACAAACTTAATCCAACCCGGCGCCAACGGCGCAGGTAATTCCCTACTAGTTATACATAAAAGTGAACTTTTGATTTGAAGACACAAATATAAATATATATATATATATATATATATATATATATATATATATATATATATATATATGCTTTTACAATCCAAATGCATGAAAACAAATATATACAAAGTTTAGAAAACGTTATGTAAAAATCAAAATTTAAAAAAGAAAACAAATAAAAATATAAATGTAAAAAACGAAAATCATAAAAAACCATGCATAAAAATATAAGTATAAAAAACGTGTAAAAAAGGTTTTGTAAACAAAGACTTTATTAAAACAATTTAGTCAAAAACAAGGCCGTAAAAAATACATAAAAGAACTTGTCAAATAAATTTCTTATAAAAATAATTTTTATAAACATAAAAAGCAAATTTGTAAAAACAATTAGGGAAATTAAAAAAAGCATCACTACTAGAAAAAGTGAAATAGAATACAGGGGGGATAAAATAGGGTTATTAGTATTCCCGTATTAGATAAGGTTCGTTTATTTTCATAGTGGCTTAGAGTACGGTTAGAAGGGAATAGAATACGGTTTAAATACGTTTACAGCTTAGAGTACAGTTAACGAGAGGTTAGAGTACAATTAAAGAGAGGTTAGATTACACTATATTACTCATTAAAGAGTAGCACACCTATTAAAATTTTAAAAATTAATTACATCGTTTTGTTGTTTAAATAAATATGATCAAGTATTTTAAAATTTGAACGGCATACATCGTTGCCAATAACAATACCATAACCACCAGAGCGACTGTTTGCTACCGCCAATCTCTGGTATCGCACCATGCGGTTTTGATGCTTAAATCTACAGTATCCTCGATGTTCTTTTCAAATTATATGTCTATCTTCTTCAATATCTGTTTAATTTCGTCATGATCAATCGTCGAGGTAAAACCTATCCGTCTATTCGCTTAAATCTCTGGTTATTTTCTTCTTTATCAATCGTCGAGCTAAAAATTATATATATTTCTAATATGTATGCATAAACTAAGAGTTACTCTTTCAGTTATCTATTTTACTTGTTTTATTATTAATGTAATAGTTAATTTATCATTTAAATTTTGCAGTCTTGTATATTTATACTTGTTATCCTGCAAGTTATTTTCAATTAAGGAACTGGTTGTCCTCTATTGAGGGTTCAAGTCTCGTTGTGGACATATATAGAATTAAGGAGTAGGTTAAATTTGTTCTTAAAAAAAATTGATTGAACTACTTTGGGCCATAAATGTCATTGCATTTCAATAAAGATATGTTTATTATTATTATTATTATTATTATTATTATTATTATTTTGTGATGATCCGTACACAACATTTTTTAGTCATACACAACAAATTATGTTTTATACAATTGTATAGGGGTGAGTAAAAACTGAACCGAAAAAAGAAAAACCGCAATAAACCGAAACCGATGCAAAAATCGATACTGCAAATTTTATTTTTTTGAAAAACCGAATTTATTGGTGCGATGCGGTTTTTATCTAGAAACCGGACCACTAAAACCGAACTGCACCGCAAGCTTATTAACAATAAAATAAATCATTAATTTATATTATATAATTATACATATTATTTAAAAAACTAATAAATTTTAATTTATACATATATTATATATTGAACTTGACGGTAATTAGTCATTAGGTATTAGGTTTAATATGTGAGTTTGTCACTTTGTGTTTGTAACTTAATAATTATGTGTAAAGTGTAAACACTATGTGTGCTACAACTTGCAAACTTGTAACTTCTAAGCACAAATTGAATAAAAAATAAGCTTGGGAATATGGGTTGCAAATGAAGTGATCAAGTAAACAACATAAAAAACTCATCATTACAGCTTCTAAATGTGGGGAAACGAAATGACAACGTGTCATACAATCATAAATCTTCACATAAACACCACGGTTAAAAAAATCGTACCGGTGAACATAAAAAACCGCATCATATGTTTGACTCGGTTTAAAACCGACACCGAACCGGTACAAACCGAAACAACACTCAAAAACCGCAAAATTAAACCATTGAAAAACCGCACCCAACAGTTTCTAGAATTCAAAAACCGCACCTTGCGGTTTGCGGTTCGGTTTGACCCTAAAACCGCATCATGCTCACCCCTACAGTTGTACAGTACAATCATCTAAAACATAAATTATTGCGTATGGCTAAAAAAATTTAAGTTTTTTTTTATTATTTTACATGTTAAGTGTTTGATGAAATGATTGAATAAAATATACCCATTCGTACCTGATATGTGCATATTTAATCATATAATTTGTGCATTTTCTTAATACTTTTTGCTATATTTTGGACTAAGTCAAGTGGAATCAATAGGAAGCTTGGAATCTGAAGGCCACGCCGTGGGGAGTTAATATTTCACGATCTGAGGATGCCTTGCTCCTTACGCGTTTTAAACATTCGCCACGGCATGGGAGGGAACTTTTGGCAACTATATATTGGCGTTTTGGTTCTCAACCCTAACTTATGATGAAAACTATTATTGACTTTTGGAGGCCAGAAACATTCTGTGGAGGTTCTGGAACGCATAAATCGATTGAAGACTTGATTTTGAAGAGATCTAAAGGCAATTTTACTCTTAACTACTTTATTGCTTTGATTTAATCATGTTGGCCAAAGTGATTTTCGTTTTTATGAGTTTGTTTCCAGTAGTTATGAGCTAAAAACCCTAACTTTCGTTTAGAAGTAGATTATCTTGATATTATGTGTTGATTAAGTGAATTTAGATTCTTACTAGTTGCTTATTTATTATGCTTGCTTGTTAAAGAACCTTTTTATGTTAATGACAACTTCTTTTCTGTTTATTGTTGAGTTTAATTGAGATTGTGTGATCTATCTATCTTAATTGGCTTAAATCTTATGATATTGTGAGTAACATTGTTATAAGACTAGTGTTTTGACCAAAAACCTAGGATTAAATAGAAATTTTTGTAAGTTAATGTATGAGTTAATATATGAAGAACAATCATATATTTAATTGATGTTTATAAACATTTATGTCAATCAACACTATAAGTCTTGCATAATTCGAATTGAATACTAGTTTGCTTGTTTAATTGTCCAACTGATCACTGAATGATTAAACTTGTTAGCTAAAGGATTAGTCTATTGATCATAATTCTAGTCAATCTAGGAATCGGTAATCAACAAAATAATAATTCATTGTACTTTCCACGAAATCAACCATAGGAGCAAGTGAATCGAATCTAAGCGAAAGTCTCTTTAAATTCTTGATTAAAAAATTGTTTCTTTGTTTTCTTCTTTAGTTTTAAATTACTTCTTTGCTAATTTGCTTCTTTGATAAGTAGCGTTTAAGTTTCTAGGAGTTCCAACAGACCACCCATTGAGGTGCAACGGTTAGTGAGGGAGTTCCAGGAGCTCCAGCAGACCACCGAGACTGTGGCGAAGATCACCGTCAAGTTTCGGGAACGAGCACTGTTGATCCCGCAGTATGATACATACGAGGATATAAGGAGGACGAGGTATCATTCCATGCTGAGGGATGATATACGAGGGTTTTTGAGCTTTACAGGGTGCAAAACCCTGAATGAGATGGTGGAGAAGGCCCGTGAGCGGGAGATGGAGTTGGAGTTCCGCACCAAGCGGAAACCAGAGCAGGCTCAGACAACTGTAGGTCAGGATAAAAAGCCTAAGACCTCTGATTCTTCTGGTAGGGGCCAGCAGGGTCGAGGCCGGTGTGCCAAGTGCGGTAAGCCGCACAGTGGGTTTGTCGAGCGGAAGGCCCGGGATGTTACACGTGTGACCAGTCGGGTCACATGAGCAGGGATTGCCCCAAGAAGGGCTTGATTTGTTTCCACTGCAACCAGACCGGCCATAAACGGGCCGATTGTCCGAGGTTGCAGGGAAGAGGAGGAGCAGTGGCGGCGCCTGCGCCCGCCATGATGAGGATCGCTGATGGCCGCCCTGCTAAGGCAGATGCTCCTACGGTGAAGAGCCGCGCGTTTCAGTTAACTACCGAGGAGGCTCGGGCAGCGCCAGACGTCGTGGCTGGTACGTATTTTATTTTTATACTTGATATTGAATTGTCTTGCTTATGTGTATATACGTGCTCATGAACAGGGACCTTTTTGATCAATGGTATGTCGACTCACGTTCTTTTCGATTCAAGTGCTACCCGATCGTTCGTATCTCTTGCGCTTAGCAAGAAGTTATGGGACACTCCGGGGATTTTAGATTCCCCGCTTGAGGTTGAGATTGCGGATGACCGCACCGTGAGTGCTGCGAGGGTGTATCGGGATTGTGTCATGAATGTGCTTGGGGAGAGGTTTCATGTTGATCTAGTTCTGATACCGTTGCGAGGGCTGAAGGTGATTGTCGGGATGGACTGGTTGGGGGTCAATGCGGCCATGATAGATTGCGAGCGCCAGCTGGTGAGAGTTCGAACCTCAAGTGGGGGAGAACTGGTTATTCATGGGGAGAGGGCCTCGATGGGTCCAACCCTCTGTTCAGCTGCGAGGGCTAGGAGACTTCTCCTTCAAGGTTGTTCGGGATTTTTAGCATACATCTCGGATACGAGGGTTGATCCCACGACAGATTTGGGTAGTGTACCGGTTGTACGAGATTTTCAGGATGTCTTTCCCGATGAGTTGCCAGGGGTGCCTCCAGAGAGGTAAGTAGAGTTTCGCATTGATTTGGTGTCGGGTGCCGCTCCGCCCGAGATGCAGGAGCTGTCTACGCAGCTTCAAGAGCTGTTAGACCGAGGGTTTATTCATCTGAGCAGTTCCCCATGGGGAGCACCGATCCTGTTCGTGAAAAAGAAGGACGAGTCACACAGGATGTGTATTGATTATAGAGAGCTGAACAAGCTAACGGTGAAAAACCGTTATCTACTCCCGAGGATTGATGATTTATTCGATCAGTTGCAGGGTGCATCTTGGTTTTCCAAGATTGATCTTCGGTCGGGGTACCAT